GGCTCTACTGAACATTCACACTATTGTCACTGCAAACCTATCTCCTCCTAGAGTTTTTAAGCTACAACAATGAGAGAAATACTGTTCAATTCACAAATAAAAGATCTAGAGATTGGTTGTAGCTTTTTTTTCAATTTACTGTAGTTATAGTTTTGAAAATATTTTTGAAATAATATATGTTTAAAAACTACTTTTTAAAGACAACACTTCCAAAGAATCCAGTATCTCTAATATTACAGATGTACAATAAATTTCTCATCTAATTTTAAAAAATTAAAAAAATTTACGGTACTTTTCAATTTTTTAATATATATAATTTTTTTAATATATAAATTTTTTTCAAAATTATTTATTCTGTTAATTGATTCATGCATTGCCTCTGACTTCACACAAGTGTGCAAAATTTCAGATCAATTTCAATTAGACAGGTAAAAGTGTGTCAAATATCAGTTATTAGATTTGTAGCTGACAAAATTATTTTTCCAATTTTTTTTAATATTTAAAAAAAAATCAAATTTTAAAATAATTTATTTTTACATTTGATTCATGCATTGTCTCCAACTTTAAACAAGTGAGCAAAATTTCAGATCAATAGGATAAGTAGAAGTGTATTAAATTTCGATTACAAGATTTGTAGCAGACAGACAGACAGACAGACAGACAGACAAACAAGAAGTGAAGTTAAAGAGAAGTGTTGTAATAATATATGCCAATTTTCATGATAACTCAATCAGTTACTGCAGTTAGTAATTCCCTTACAATATTCACTATTAACGAAGTCTCCGATGAAAACGCTTCACATGCTCAGTAATTCTTTATGAACAACGGAGCAAATCGTCCGGTGGTAGTAGAAAATTAATAAAAAAAGTATATTACGCTTTTAAGGAGGGGAAGGAAAAGGAGTTGAGCCTTGAATAATGTTTTGAATGTCGTATTACCGNATAAACACATAATCCAGAGAATTGAGAGCACGAGAACGCTTAATGAGAGAACCACACGCTACGAGCGCGGGGCTCGACTGAGTCGAGTGAGGCGTTAGCCAGCCGCGGCTACCTTGCCCAGTGCTATAACGGTCTGCCGCGGCAGAATACATTCAGCGTTTACATTTTAATTTAACACGTTCAAGTGAACGTGACACTCCGCCCCGGTTGACTGAGCGGACAGTCAACTTTACTTTTTACAACTCGCTTCGATTGGCGTTTCGCTCAGGTGATACCCTCGCTGCTTTTAACTACCCTCGTTATGTCAAGTGGCACTAGTGGCCGAAAAGAAAGACATCACTATGCTTAATACATGAATACACCTTTAGATTGATACATGATTACTCCTCAATACATGAATACATTAAAAGCACACTTTTGGCGCTCAGGGCCGCAAATTTTGCATGAACTGTAATAAATGAAAATTAGCTTCGGCACTCTTCGCAAGCAAACGTTACATTACTGATGCCATAAATGGACAGTTGAATTTTTTTTTGCTAGTGGATACATTGAACCTGACACTAAAAACTATCGAATAGTACAGTAGCGTGAGTGCGTGACTCAAGGCTCTTGAGACATATCCATTCGGAGACAAATCTTTTCGGTGGCGTAGACGATTGTGATTTACGGCTCCACCGCGTTTTCTGAGGCAGCGACGACGTTCGTGTTGTCCTAGGCTCGTTGACGACCGGGATCCACGCGAGGCGCTGGCCGCGATCCACCGCCTGGGTCGACGAAATCCCAACGGAGGATCTGATAAGTTTCTTCATGTGAATCAGCTTCAAAGTTTTCTTCTGACGTGTCCGACACGTTTCGAAAGCGGATGACTCCATCGACCCTCACTGATCTCTGTGTAGGATCCAATTCAGGAAATGATGTGGCCGCGCTCTTTACGGGAGCAGATATAGGCGATGTCGTCATATGGCTCTGCTGAGCAGTTGATGAATGCGAGACCAACGCCGCGCTGTTCTCGGAAGCCAATGTAGGCAAAACAAGCCCGGCACTCCGTCCGAGAGGCGATGTCTGCAAGACTGGTGTGGCACTCTGTCGAGGGACCCATGTAGGCGAAACTAGTGCCGCGCTCCACAGAGGACCCGAGGTCATCGAGACTGTAACAGCGCTCCACGGAGAGGCCGGTATCGGCGGGGTTGACACCGCGCTCCATGAAGAGGCCGGTGTCGACGGGGTTGACATCGCGCTCAATACAGAGGCCGGTGTCGGCGATATTGACACCGCGCTCGGTGAAGAGGCCAGTCTCAGCGTTATTGCTTTGGGGTCACGAAGATGAACAACTCTGCTCGGTGTTTCAAGCACGGCCGACGAAGACTGACTTGTGTCTGGTATCGTGACCTCAGAACGAGACATTGAGCTTGACGCTTCGGCATGAAGCGACGCTGACGAAGTAGTGACCGCACTCATGCCGGCAGGCCGAGCCGCGCTACTCGACGCTCTAGCATGATGCCGCACTGAAGGAGTGGCAGCACCCATGCGCTCTGGACGAGCTGTTGCGTTCGACGCTCTGGGTTGTGACGAGTGGCTGTCGTCGGTCTTCTTGGACGAGTGCTCCAATTTGGAAAACATGAATATCGAGGAGGCTTTCATGACTGGCGTCTGGGCGACGTTAATTGCACCGAAATTGAGGAATTTGGTGCACTTCGATTCCGTGTTCACGACTGGTACATCCACGCGCTCTGCTGCAGGAACATCTCTGATAGCGATGGAGGGAGCCAGACTGACTGATCTTCCCTCGAACTGGCTTGCACGATCGCTCCGTGCACAACCTTCTCCAACAACCCGCTCTCCTAGTCGAGGATGCACGGATTTAGATGAGATGCTCCCAGCGCTGGACTTTCCCAAATCTCTGCGGGCTTTGACGCGCTTGATCTTAGCAAGAAGCTTGTTGCGGCGAAGCTCGAGTTGGCAACACTTGAGCTCAAACTCGAGTCGGGCGCACTTGCGCTCCAGCTCGACTCGAGCCAAGACTTCATCTGGATTTTCCTCGTCGTCATAACATCTGTCTTCCAAATGGGGTAATATGTTGTTCCAATTTCTCTTCTTTTGAGTCATTGAGGCCATTCCAATTGTTAGTCGCAGGGGTCGTTTTATTCACAGCGCCGCCCCTGATAACGATTTCATTGTCGCGGCTCCGGTAGATTTACCACTTTTGTGGCGTACCGTAGCTGCCTAATCGCGGGTCCGAGGACGGTAAGGATCAAAAAGACGATCTTCGTTTCTTTCTTTACTATCCAGCTATCCTCTTGCCACGATGAAATCCTGCACATTAGAATTTCTATAAGATACATTGAATAAATTTCTGATTCTAGGAACGTTTAAATGGATAAAGTTTAGAAATAAATTACATGATAAATTACATTACATTCGTAATGTACTAATGCATGAAATAACGACAAATCGAAACTACTTCAATGTTAAACGAGCTCGTAGGATGAGCATTTAACGATTCTCTATTTTTTAATTTAAGGATTTATGAATTGCGTTCTGACTTCAGATACGAGGACATCGAATAAATCCCTGCACATCGGTTCCAAAATTCTCATCACTTGAATCTAAATATGAACACATGTACGACAAGTCATGATAACAATAAACGTGAGCCAGAACATTCTCAATGCCGATATTAGCAGACTAAGCTGAACTCAAAGGCACAAAGGTAATAAACACAGTGGTAGCTAGCAGCTTAGGCTAATTCAAATCAAACGTTCTTGAAGCAATCAGTTGCTTAAATATTTCTATCTAGTCAGACTCAGAAATACAATTTGTAGGGACCCTAGTATGGAATATATCTACTTGGCGAGCCGCGACTGGATTTTTTGAGCTATGATTTTATGGATTTGCAAGCTGCAGTTCCATTTCTTTGAGCAGTGAAAACCATATCCCAGCTATGAAAAGCAATTTATGAGCTGCAAAATCATTTGCAAAGTCCTGTGCACATTTTACCCGAAAATCTAATTTTTCCCCTGGAACAGCAACAAAAATATTTGTCTACACTTTAAAGGCAGCTGAACATTTAATAACATGTTGTTTCCATTTTTATTGAAGAATAAACAAAGTTATAATACAGCCTGATGTGACAGCAACTAAATAATCACTGACAAAACATTTTGGGTTCTTTTATTATTCAGGATATTTTGCAGGAGTGTGGTAACTGTGTGGTAACTGCAGATGTTGGAAAATTAGTGAAATGATATGTTTGTGGACTGCAATTCCCTCAATCAAATAAAAATACATTACATTACTGCAGCAAGATTTCATACCCACTGAAATTATATATTAGAGCCTCAATATTTCAGAAAAAAGTAGGAATTTTCCCAAATAATTGACAATATTGACATTGAAGGTAGCCTAATTTTGCTTGCTACTTGAAAGCCGGAGTACAGAAAATAAGAAAATATTGAAAAATCTTTTGTGATCTGCTGCACAACAATATTTTTAGCAATATATTGTTGCAACTTATATGTCTTTTATTACTTCTTATCTATATATAATCCTGTATCTTTAAGGCTGAGGTAGTTCTTGCAACTAATCTCCAATGATACTGGCTACATTGTAATTAGAGGAATGCATTGCAATTACAAATTCATTTGCATGAGAAATATATGTGGTTCAAATTGTGGTGGGCTAGTCAAAATCCATTCTTAAAGTGTTGCACAATACAGGTCACAAAATGGCTATTCAAGGCCTTGAATTCAAGGTGGTGGAAGTAGCTACTACTGCACCTGGTACATCAATTTTTTTACATATTTCTGATGTATTTCTGGTCATTTTGCAATCACTTATATCCTCTCATGACCAACTGAAATTGGATGGTCAATTATTTTGTTGAAAACCAAGTCATTAAATTCACTCTAAATTGTTTCTTTGGGAACATATAACACAAGCTCTAAATAATTTTCTTTGAATGTATGCAAAATATAATTCAAATTTTTTGAACAATCAAGTAAAATCTACACAATGTTTTTTTTTTCTTTCGATTTTAGTCAAAACTAATATTTTGTTCCATTTCAGGCACAGCTGAGAGCAAGTGTCTTCCTAGCATTGGAGGATGAGTTCAGAGAGGTGAGAAATTTTCTTGTATATTTGGCCAATTGATGTTGTTGTGTTTTGTGCCAATGCAAATTTGTTTGAATTTCTTAAATATCTCCTAATCTTTAATTGCAGAAAGATGTTCCTTTGTGCAACTCACGCACCATGGAGCTTCTGCAAACACCATCTGGAAGTCTGGCTGCTTCTTTGGTACATGATTTCTTCACTTGCCTAGGATTGGACTTTTCACTTGCAGTATTTGGACCAGAGTCTAATCTTGGGGCTAAGCTCTGGGACTTGCACACAAGAGAATGCTTGCTTAAAGCAACAGGGCTCGGAAAAGATGCAGGTATGTTCACAATTTAATTTTTGGTTACATTAAGTGTTCTAAAAATTGCACTTAAGCATTTATAAATTTGAATTCTCCTCAGCTAGAACAAAATGAGACTTGCATAGCATCCGCACTGTGTCAGTTTGTAAAATTAGGCTACCAGGCTTTAACAAGTATGGGGAATTCTATTCAATATTCTGCCTATAAAAAATTTGTCTTAGAAATCTCAAATTTTTTGAGAGCAATTTTGTAATGTAGCTTATGAAGGCTTACATGTTTAGGTTGTATGTTTATGGTGTAAGTTTGTCAAATTATGAATTTAAGCATGAAATATATAAGCGTGGATATGTGTGTTTAGTAGAGAGTATCTAATTATCATTTGTTGACATAATGTTTTTATCTATTAGAACCCATGACTCCCATCCTACTTACTCTGTGCTACCAGTGCCTCAACACATCCACAGCTCCAGTGACTTCTCATGCTCACATGGTATATAAGTATAATGATTTAAAAATGCAAGTGTGACACATCTATACATAGATTATACTTGATTATTTTCGGAATAGTATGTATTATTGTTTCTACAACATGATACACAGGGCGTTATATACATCAAATTACTGAGGACTGAAGAAATTTCAGTCATGGACTGAAAAACGTGATTGATTTCAATTGGCAAATTAAGAGTTCCTAGTTGTATATCCATTCGTCTTTATTTCATTACAGTTAAACGGTAAATCTATGAACCAAAAAGGGAGAATTCCTCCACTTGTGGCAGCAAATGGTACTCCTTCAAGCAGAAATGGCATCACAAACCATGTCTCACAATTCCCTCAAGACCGGCGCAAGCTGATTGATGCTCCTTCAACTTCTGGTGTCAACAAGATAGATTCAGCACCTACAACAACTAACACCTCTTCAGCAACAAAACAAACTCCCTCAGTTACAACCACCGTAAATGATTCTTCCAACACCTCAGTGCCTAGTAAAGTTAATAACAAATCAAACTCTAGCACTGTAAATCGTAAAGAAGTATCATCTTCCAATAAAAATATTCTGAAACAAAATCCTGTGCCACCGCCTGGTGACATTTTGTCTGCGGCACCTCCTGACGCAGATTCCAGTGAGGCTTCTTCGTTGTCTGATGTTGAAGGACTTCGGAAGGATCACACAGGAAACAAGTGAGGATACGCAGCCTATGACGTGATTTACATGCTTCTGGATGTCCTTGAAGAGTGATAGATTGTTCTGTAAAGAATATACATAGTTTCTTCACAATACAAATTTTTTAGCTTTACAGCTGTGGAGCATGTTCATAAATTGAGAGGAAATTAATTTAAACCAAACTTTTCAGGCCTCCGACGGAAGCTGGTACCAAAGCTGACAAGACGGCTGACTGTACTAAACATTTGTCAGGTATGATATTGACGTTTCTGAAGAAGATTCACATTTAATTTCTAGGACAGATTGGCTCATTGAATTCTTCACAATATCCAATGGCTGCAAATAACATTAGCTTGTTGCATTTGACGTATATTATGTAGCTAAATATTCAAGTTCTTTGATCGAGTTCATTTATTCAACTCTCTGTCCACGGATTCACTGAACCGTTGTTAATGTTATTACATCCTAACGTTCTGGAAACTCTTGTAAGCATCAGCAGGTAAAAGGTTGAGATACTTTTTGTGGTTGGTATTCTTCTTTTAGAGCGCAGTCCATTTAGATGAAAAATAAACTACTTATATTTCCCCATGTAATAGGAGTATTGCAATCTAAATAACAATCCTAAATTTTTTACACAGATGGTGATTATGAAGACGACTTCTCTGAGAGCAGCTCCAGTACCGTAGAAGAATCCTCCTCTTCATGGGGCCACCCGCCTCTTCCACCCTCTCAACCAATCAACAAAACTGAAAAAACTAATGTTCTGGAAAAGAAAAGTTTACCAGCCTCTGATGTGACTAGCTCAGAGAAAACTGGTTCCTTGGGAAAAACACTTGACAAAGAAAGTAACAACTCGACTACTAGAAAACGGTCTCTCGATATTCTGGACGATGAAGTGTTAATTGATGACTTCATCTCCAGTGAATCGTCATCTGTGAGTCTTGAAAATCATGGTTTTAATCAAGAAGCATTATTGTCATAGCATACAGTTATTTGCGTTCAAATATTGAGATGTTGTCATCTGTGATTATTGAAAGTCGCGTTTTTTATCAAGAAGCATTATTGTAATGCCATACAGTAATTTGCGTTCAAATGTTGAGATGTTGTCATCTGTGATTATTGAAAGTAATTAGTCACAATCACTTAACTTTAGTGTAAGGGGATGCAAAAATTTGCGTTCAAATGCTGCGAAAAATTAATTTGTTATGACTTTAGTGAAGTGTGCTGTTACCATTTCTTTATTGCAGGCGCGAGATGATACGGAAGATATTGCAGACTCCAAAACGACAGACGTTGAACTAGACTACCAGGAGCCGGTCTAACCTCTCTGCATTCTCGAGCTGCTCGTTCAGTGCTCATTAAAATATCAGTGCCTTTCCAAGCTGCTTGTTCAATAATAATTATGGTATCAGGTTTTAAATTCACAGTTGGAAGTAAATAATAAATTTAGTTTTAGGTATTATATGCGGTTACAATTTCGTTATTAAATGAGGCACATCTTGAAAAATTCAGATGTAGTCTCTCCACAATGGTGTTGAGAATCTCGGAAGCTGTGTGATGTTTCGAATGCATGTTCGTATCCTAACTAGTAATATCGATGTATAATTAATTGAACAGCATATCTTAAACTGACTAGAAGTAAAAGCTCATGTACTGAATAATCTTGTGCCTTATGTGAAAAGGTGACAATAATAATGCGTGTGTAAGGTCGTGTTTCTAACATTTTCAGCGGGCTACAACGAAACGCTCAGTGGCCATCTCACGGCTTTACATGGATACCAACTTAACAAGCCTTGCAATGTTTCGATATTCGATCGACAGAGGTTTCGATGATACGCACTATAGAGGATCGAATGGTCAATATTGAATGAATTATTTCAGTCGATGGCATTGATATAAGTTTGCATGTAGCTAGTCACAGTATATCTTCTCATTCAGCAATGGAACTCATCGTTTGATTGTCTTGAATTACGTAGGCAGCAGGTTCATCAAAATCCATAAAAGGCATTACACTCGCTAAAAACGTGGCGTTTTAAGTTACTCACGTAAATCAGGAGGCTCTGGAGGACAAGCCACCCATCTAGGACTGTTACATTACTTTGATCTCACTACCACTCCTATGGATTTCGTTTGATTCCATAGTTGAAATGGAATCGTTAATTTGGCGATCCTTCTCAGTACGACTCTATTCTGCTAAAACTAACATTTATTTCACGGGTTTTGAGATGATATAATAATGACCTCTAATATTTCTTAGATTATGCTATTGCTGGTTAAACTCACGAAATAAATCGAAAATCGTTTTATTTTTTGTAAGCATCAGCAGGTGAAAGGTTGAGATACTTTTTGTGGTTGGTATTTTTCTTTTAGAGCGCAGTCCATTTAGATGAAAAATAAAAATCTATTTATTTTTATAATTCCACCCTAGCAACACTTCCGTCCGATATTATCGACGTTGAGCTGCAGGCCACATCGTGTGATAATAACAAAGAATCAAATTCACTGTTTAATGCATCACAACAAACAACTACAAGAACGGCCGTAACTTTCACATTACAGTTACTCGTGACGAGCGAGGCGAGACGAATCACCAATATTAATTAACCCTTTCGCCGGCGGGGACTGCATAAACGTAACTAAAATTTCAATTGCTCATGAATTTCTAAAATTTTCGTTACTTGCCCGCAGATCGCTATCAATGACTTTCTGAAACATGGTGTGACAAAATCAATTGACGACGCTTACATGTAGAGGAACATGGATTTATCAGTGATATCCTATCTAACTATACGTAAAGTATTCAAGCGAGCGGGACCAGGGGCTTCATACGCAATAAAAAAAATAGACAAAATGAATGCTTAATTTCAATTGTTGAACAATGTCATATCCAGTCTCGCATCAAATTTTCAGAACAAGTTAACGTTATATTCAACACAATTCAAGAAACCTCATATAATAAGTAGCAAGCGAAAGGGTTCATGTAACTCACATTAACACAACCTAAACACAGAGGCCTGATGGCACAACAGAATTGATTCATAATCCAACACCTTACGCGAAGAATTTTAATACGTGAGACGAAAATTTGTCTTCAAAAAATCAGAGATAATAATATAGCTTTAAAAAATATAAATACCTCCTCCACTAAACTTTTCAACACTTCGTGACGCATTCGTCCGGAGCGTTGCCGGTTAGAAAAGATGAATCGAGAACATCTAGTAGAAAATAATATACAAACTTTCTACTCGTAGGGTATTATTATACTACGTCATAATAAGATTAAAATAAAGAGGTAAAGAAAGGTTTCGTCCTTTGCAGAACGCACAGCAAAATTTGATACAAATAAATTAATTAAATTGCATCACAAACGCGGATTGGGACCCCAAGGCACCGCTAGTTACCTATTTAACTAGAGCAGCGATAAGTCGAGTTAATGAACGAACATGAGCAATGTCACGAAATACCCGAATGTTGAAAGATTGTGACAACGCTAGTCACATTATATATTAATACAAAATACGCACTAGCACATCAGTCTAAAAAACGCGGGATCAATACTGAACAAAACAAACGACAGCATAGAGCACAATGTGAGCTACCGCACCTAAACCTAAATGAACCTACTTACAAGACATAAAAGCTTTTACCTATTTACACTCTATTTAACAAGGGCTAACTTGAAAACGTACGCCGCTAGATTACTTCACACTTTAAAATATGGCAACAGAGTTAGATTTACAAAGCTATAATTGATCGCAACCAAAGTTTGCTTGGTATCATTAAATGAATTAGAAGCGCAAAAGTTCAATAAACTAAGCCTAAACTAAAACGAATGGCCCGATACACGCGACGAAAATCGGCGCAACTCGACGACGCACGAGCCTTTGTGCTCACAACGAACTAGAAGTCAACTAGAATATCACAGCGCAAAATAATCAGCAGCGGCGCCCAGGGTCCCAAAAAACACGCGGTAAATGACACTGGCGGTGAAAGCGATGTGTGTAGCGAATCCCCTTCCAGCCTCCTCAATACGCTACGAAAATTATTACCTACGCTACACCTAAACAAACAAGAATAATGTCTCATTAGAGGGAGTCGGTTTGTACTTCAACTCTCGAATGAGCAGTGCACACAAAACGTGGAATAAAAATCAACAAATAATTTATAGCTTTTCCTTACCAAATAAAGTTTACATACGCCGAAAAGTTCACCTAAAACCTAGATGACCTACCTCCTAGTGACTAGTGAAGAGGTTTGGCGGGCTAAATTAGTGTTTCTAGGACTTCATTCAGCACATAGTAAGATATAAAAGCACTGTCACTACTATAATTGGCTAGCTACCATCGTCGTCACATAACTGGCACACATTACAGATACCTACAACCTCCCTACCAACACTCGCCTTCCTAGTCCTGGTTCCAACATATTAAGCACCAACGTATCGTATAAAAGCAGCACCGTATCTAAAATATGGTCACCTGATGTTCCTATCAAGTTAACAGATCGGCTTTCCAACCTAACACTATTATTAACCATTACACTTACTAAACAATATATTCTGTGGCAGCAAACGACTAACGCTCAACGCGTTAGTCCGTAAACAGCTCACTTGAAAGATATGCAAAGGTCGGCAATATAAATCGTTGCCCTAGAGTATAAATTACCTACGTAATATATCACTGGAACAGGATTAGACTCAATGCTAAAATGCATTAGTACTAACTGCCTCAATATCAAACATCAACCATAGGTCATTAATAATCATTTCTAAAAGAATTGAATATCCGTATACTCCTATTTTCATATAGAACATCTCAAAGAGCAAGATTAACAGACTAAAGGAAACAAATAATTATCCCTATCGCTAAGGTGAATTAATTAATAAGTTGCTACTAAAACAATGAGATCCTAAACAACTGCTTGAAGGGGACATCGCTTCACATATCGCCTGCACCGCTTAAAAGACTAAGAGTAACGTCTATTATGATCAAAAAATAGTAATCAGAAACAATTAAAACAAATTATTAGCCAATGCACCTCAGCTGATTTTCTTCACTCGAAACAGTGTATGAATACTACGAGTGGAAGAAACTATAATAACGAAGGAATAAGTGAATAAACTTGGGAAAGGAATGCTTAAGTGCTAAACAACACGCAGGATACTAAGAATAACACACCACACGTCAGACTAACTTGCATGCATCATATTCATCAAGTTACACTACACAGCAAAGCTTTATAGGCCGATCCTTATACAGGCGCACCAGATCGACCAACTGGCACGGGAAGATAAATTGTGCATCAATCGAAGGGAGGGAAAACTTAAGTCTCGCCACCTTAAGGACACGTGCATTAAAACAATAAGTCGCCCGGACGAGATTACAAAACGTTTACGATCCTTTTAGCTGAAAGATAGTATACAAGATTATGCACAGTAGAATGATCAACAGTAAGCGGACAATAATAATCATTGAAACCAGACACGTACGGAAGTAAATTCCAATGCTCTATTTCTGTCACTCTAGCCACGTTTACTTTCAAGACTACCGGCAACTACACATGTATATCGACTTGTTATGGCCGAAAAGACGACACTACTTACCTAACTACCGCTTTTAAATCGTAAGCAAATGCAGGAGGGAAGAGAGAAAACGACGGTCGGTCGCACAGTCGCGACCACGAGGCCTGACATTCGTACAAGAGGCCGCGAGAAACGAGCCAACATATCAGTTTCAGAAAGTGATGCACGAGGCACAATGTTTCGTCCCTAAACCTAAAGTATCATTTCATTCCAACAGCCCACGACGACGACGCCGGCACGCGCAAAAGTTCCCACTAAGCCTAACTTACCTAAATATATAAGAGTTGTACTTTGAGCATGACCCTCCCACGAGCGGCTACCTGCCTAAAATGACGGAACCTCACTCTGGAATAAAGCCTAACACACACGCAATATTAATTACTAACCCTAGTATTTGGCAGCTGTTGTTGTTGAGACCAACCTCCTAACAGTAAAGAACCGCATAGACTAACGTATTAAGTTAATTACCGCACAGAGCGAGGCTAAACGATTATAGCTTTTGTTTATTGCGATTCCTAAGAGTCCCTTAATCGCGCGACGCTTCCATTAAGTTAACCTAAGCACGATAACACGCGACGACCGGTCAACAATATTACCCTAACATTGATCATCGTATAAAAAAGACCGCGACTACTTGCACTCGAGAGCTAAGAGAATGCACACCCTGCCTGCTACATTGATCACCACCAGAACGACCCTGATACACGGTTGCCCACTACACGGATCACAGCTGTCCCACCTAACGGTTGCTTCCCTCATCGCAGTTTACAGGGGAGACAGAGAGAGAGAGAGCTCGCGCCAAGAGACGAATCACAGAGATCACAGTCGTTTACTTCAAGACCCTAACCGAAGGATTATTCCTAAATAGCTAACATGTGCGACACTTGATAGTTACAGAATGAGAAGGAGACCGTCGACGGTAGGCACGTAACCGAGTGCTGTTATGCTGTCCTTAAACCTAACACAGAAAAGTTACAAAAATTTTCGCGAGGAATTACAAGTTCGATATCATCAAAGTGACAAGCTAGTCATCAAAATAGACATTCTGTACGCCAAAATACACCATCTAGACGATATGTTCGTTAACCTGAAACGATTGCATTACATTTTGGGAAGCTACGTGCAAGTCGAGCGATTATATTGCGCTTTAACGAAGTAAGTATTTTTCAACAAAAGAGTTCTATCGCAGTTCATTTTGGACTACTTGAATATTCTTCGCACGCATCTTGATATATAACCATGAACATGAGATGTGACAGCGGTAATATTAACATTGATCTCTGTGAAAGTCACTGCTGACATATCTACGACATAGAAACCACGGCAGAAACATCGTGGACAAGGAATTCTCGCTTCGATTTCAGGCTTTCTAAATTCGATCACCATCTGTAGGCCTTCATTTAAGTGTTCATTTCAATAAGTAATGGGAAGTACCTGATTGCACATTACTAGCTGCCTAATATCGAATTTACGAAAGTCAGACTGGTTTACTTAGTACATGATGTCTGCAACCCTCTCATCTCCACAGAGCTTAATAAGCCGTTCAAGTTACCCCACCGAGTTAACTACGAACATTCGAGTTATTTATTCCTAACAAAACCCAATTAAAACCATTTCAGGGGATATCTGACAGAGCTACAGCAGCTCTAAAGGACAAAAAAAAATTGAACTCATTATGAGCTATTGAAGAATTAGAAGTTCCTACGATTGAGGCACACGCTAAATTGATGCATCAAAAATAAAAATGAATCAGCTTAAACTGAACTTAATATTAGCCAGGAAATCTAATATCCTTTATTTAGAAAGAACTCGCACATAAACGCGAGCCAAAATGAAGCGACATGCAATAGAGCAGAAGCATATGCAATAGTATGTGGGCAAGTACCATCTCCAGACGAGTCAACAGTATCGCTAAAAATCAAACCACATTGCACTGCAGTACGCACTGGTCTTGATGTAGACCAAAAAACATGGGTGTTTACTATCCGGACTGATAGGTCAAAGCTGAATTGCACTCAGGAGCACAACAAATGAGGGAAAGAGGTTACGGAGGAAATGCTATTATGGTCAACAATGAAGTGACATCCGTTGAAGAAGCGGATGTCACACAACACTCGAGGGAAGATTGCCTTTAAATATTAGAGAAGTCTTTAAATATTAACCTCAATGGCTGTTGTCTAGATAAGATAAGTACGGTATATGATACAGAAATATGATAAATAACAAACAGCTTAAACTGACAAAATTCATATCATATTTTAGTAAGTAAAAGAGTTAAACACGATAGAAGCAACCTACATCAAACACATAAGAAAAATCCCATATAATTCCATGAAAACCAAGGTGTAGTCAGAAAGAGAGCCTGCATGATGCAGTGATGGATTTCGAACTAAATCCAGAGCATAGATGGTAGCGAAATTACGACTTCGATGCGGCCAGAATGCGCACCGCAGTTGTCAGAAAGTTTGGAGCTTCAGAGTTGTCCATTATCAAGAACTTCCAAGAAGATGGCCTGATAGGAATCCGCACCTGGAAGAACAGGCTTTCTTTGATGATGCACATTAGCTATACATCTTATTAGATAGCTGGTTCAACTTATTCATTGTCATGTAGATCAATGCGGTATAGTGATAATTTTTTGCATTGCAGCCATTTTGTCTCTGGGTCTACCAGTTATAAAATAATAAAGGCACAAATAATTATAATAATTATAAAGGAACTCTTAAGTGTTAATCAATAACTTATATGAATTGTTGAAGTGAAGTTGTCAAAATAATCCCTCGAACTATGAACAAGGGCCCTTTTTTAAATCACTGCATTTTCAAGCAGCAATTCAATAATTCGGTAACATAATAAAACTCGCGGTGCAGCGAAAACTTTAGTTAAAAACTCCAGCTAATAGATCTTCAATGGAATTCTCGTTTCCTTATAATTATGAGTAACCAGTGAAATAATGTATGAAATTTATTGAGAATTAGTACAACTGCAATATGATTGATAACAAATTGTGCCGACACAAATTCAACCTTAACTAGACTCACTAGACTCCGTATTGTTGGGACAGCCGTTCTTTGAGGGGCAGAGGGAACTGTTCAGTGAAGCGCTTCCAGTTCTCTTCGCCAACCTGCTCCTTGAAGCAATGCAGGATCTGAAATGAAAACAAAATTAAAATGCACATATGAGAAGCATTATAACGCATGCAATTTAATTTCAATCAAAACGAGATGCATAACTTTATTATTAAAGTGAATTATACTGAACCATGAAGTTACTGGAACTCAAGTGCCAGCTAAAAATGCGTTATCCTTCCGACAATGTAGGGTTGAAAGGACATTTTCCATTTTTCTTCGCGCAAAAATGCTTATTTAAATTAGAAGAATTCACAAAACGGATGGTACTCATTCATTCAGCTATTTCAATCATCGGACTCACAAGACCATTTAAAAAGACAAGCAATATCTCAACAATCGTCACTAGGGAGATATAAATTATATGTCACAATTAGAAGTAGAATAGAGCACTAATTATAAACAAATTATCGTACCCTGTGAAACATTTCCTTCAAATCGGGTTTAGGATTGACCCATGAAGCGATGGCGTCACAGAAGAAGATAAAGTCTTCAACCACTCCGGACGGGTTGACGCTGATCATGTTGCACACACCACGGAATGCAGAGTCCTTCTCTTCGTTGTCACGAATGTTCCGCAGCGAGATGCACCTATGGATGGCAGGAATTATTTACGACCAAAGAACACTGACACCATCAGGAAAATAAGCTTTTTCTCTTCTAAGCATATTATTAAATGAGAATAGTTTTCAAATACCAAAATAACGAGTCCAAAATATCAGTATGCCACAAGAACAATCTAGTTTTACCCACCGGTATCCTTACCACTATCTGTGACTAAACCAGATAACGCACCGAATGTTTAGGTAAGGAGACAGATCTTCATACCTTGCACAATCTCCTGTAAGCTGCTAAAGAAAGACACTGACAACATACCTCGCTCTTTACACGAGGACGCAGCATTCAAGTGACGGTAGCAAATATGTACTACGTAGCAGCATGGAACAGTCCGTACCTTAGAGATCTTCCTGATTTTCTTCCTTTTCCGACCTACTGAGCCCAACACTCGTGACACTTAAACCCTCTTTCCGGTCACCGTCCAAACAGACATATAAGGAGCGGAATTTACTCATTAAAATTTTACAGACTTTCTGTTCATGATAACGCATTCTGCGCACCATTATTTTGATACTTTACCCGGGAATCATACTTAGCACCAAGTTTGAGGATATGCTGAGTATAGCAAGCAAAGCGAGTGTGCTCCTCACACAGAGAGAAAAAAGTGACTAACCCTGATCACTTGTAGCGAGGTTCCGAGGACATTTATGAGAAACTACATTAAATAATAATGAACTAAATCTATAGTTTTCTACACACCACTGCCTGATAAACTGCTGCAAGAGCGGGGCCACGTCAGTCGGGCAAACATAGCCTAGCCGTCCGATCGTTATGGCTACTCGACCCGGTAAGTTGGTAACATACCCAGCCGTCACCAACGCAATCATTAACGGGAAAAGAAAGAAAAGAACACCATCAGATAAATGACCGGTAATTATGTTATACAACAACACACGCAAGTTAATCATTATTGAACGAACCTGACGTCTCTTAGTAACGCCGGCAAGTTCGCATCAAACTAAAGCTAGACAATAATACGTTAATGTATAAAATGTTGAAGTGAAGAACGACAGCGACGACGGATGTAAGCGGCGAGGTTATCTGGTCATAATAGAGTCTAGAGTGACACTTGCAGATAAGAAAGATCAATTAACAATTATTGCAAGACATTGAGCGAGGCTGGGCATCGTGACAAAAAAGGTACGGGGCTGACGGTAGAACTTCCATCTACGATAGCTTGCGAAAGTTAATTTCTACCTCCTGGCTCTTCCTATAGAGGCCTCCACCTATGGAATAAGCAGAACATTAATGAAAACAATCATCAAGTAAAGACTATACTAATATCGAGCGCAGGCACGACTAACGAATGCTGCTAACGCTGTCTAGAAAGATTATACAAGCGATTGTTTAGCTTTCCTTCATAAAAAAAAAACGGAACTTAAAAAAATAACCACAAACGAGCACCCTTGTGTGGACTGATGACACAAGTCATTGTACAGTCCCACCAGGCAAATGGCGTGAAAATGACGCTTAATTAACGTTTATTCAACGTCAAATGTCTGGCGAGTCGCAGTCACCGCACGTTCGCGAACCATTTCACTCATCTAGGACACTACTAAGGCACTGCTGCACTCTCGACTTTACCTTTACAGCAGACCAAGCGAGTGCCAACAATTCTACCACACGGCAATTTATACAATGAAGAAAATTATTGCATGAATGACAATCATAATCGGCATTTAATTCATTTGAGTCCCATACATTCTTAATACACGCCATGCATACTCTTGAAGTAAGCATATACAATTGCTTTTTATCAGGCACATCATCCAAAGATCTTAGAGACGTTATCAAATGTCGACATTCTCAGTCATCTTATGAACGGCAGGAATCTACAAGCAAAATTGCCGTTCATCAGTCATTTCACTTGCAGCAGAATAGCAAATGCTTTAAAAAATATAAACAACTTTCTATCAGAGAACTAGTCTCACCTGTGTTCTCTAGAAGTGTCTTGGGCGTGTTGGGCTTGTTGAGGATGAAGATCAGGTCCGACAAAACAATACTGACATACGCGTTCATTTCCGTACCTGTGTTGACGAAACCATATCAACTGAATCAATTTAAAAACATTTCCTGCTATTCGAATGAAACTAATCGAGTCAAATTAGACAGAATTTTAAACGAAAATGAGGGGTTTTCTGAAACTCGTTACAAAATAATCAGGCGATTATTATGTCTTCAATTCAGAGCACTGCACCTAAACATCATCTAAATATTTAGTATTTATTGTAATTGACATGATTAATAATCAAAGCACTCACCCAACTTGACAGAAATTTCCCCTATCGCCCAGGTGGCATTATTGCACACCGATATCAGCTCGGGGTTGAGGTTCTGCCCAAGGATCGGCATAAACTCCGCTGCAAGGAAAATATATAGTAACACAAGTCAGTTGGCTGTGAGGTATCAAATCGATTAAATGGAAATTATAGACAACTTGAGGGTGTAAATGATAGTAATAATAATGATTTTTTAATAACGTTGACTTTCTCGTCAGAAGCGAACCAAACCACAAACTATATAATAGAGCTCATCAAGTAGGTACACAATGAACATATCAAGTTTTTATTGCGATACCGGTATCCTGTCCATCTATACCCATGAACAAGCCAGATAATTGTGTTAGCAACACTCACGTATGCAGGGAGCGACGTGCTGGAAGCAAGCTTTCGTGAGGTCTCCGAGCAAAGCAAATGAGCTTTGTCGCACTTCGGCCATAGCGTCTTGCATGGCCTGGTACAGAAGCCGCATTATGTTGCTGTTCTGCACCAGGTCACCGATGTGGCCGTTCAAACCTTCAGCTAAACCAGAGAGAAGGTCCAAACTCACGATCATGAAATCTTTGTCGGCCGCTTCAAACTGCTCAGGATTCTGAGCATGAGCCTGAGAAAAGGAAAATCAAGTTAATTGCAGCCACAGAACTGGCATACACGACTAGACTTGTGACAAATAAAGTTACAGAGACGCAAGATGATAGAAAAAGGACAGAAGTTCGTAAAAATAATTTCATTGTTTAGCAAAAGGTTATGCAAATATTAGCCTGATGGGTCTTTTTTCCAGGGGTATTATTCAAGTTAAAACCATAAACAAACTCACTAGAGTTTGATTGAGAGTTTGTTCAACAAGAGACACGCATCGCTGATACACGGGCCCGCAGTAAGGAAGAAAGCCAGTTTGCAGGGCAGTGGCAACACTTGAGAGGCATTCCAACAGAGGGAAGAGGTCCTTATCTTCATCTTTCAGGATGTTCCACTTTTCGATGAGCGGCGGCATCAGGAGTTGGATGTATTCTTCCTTGTTGAGGAAATTACCGACGCTGTCCGCAAGCGTGCCTGCGAAATTGACCAATTTTTTTTTTGTACTTTGTCAAACAAAAGGAAGAAAAGCTTCTGCAATGGTTTAGGCCGCCCGAGTTCAGCATTAAAACCGTTTATTTCATGCCGATCATTGACCCTCAGGAATTTTTGAATTAAATGTTTTTTCGATCATAGACTGAACTAGGATCTGTATAAATTTATTTTATTATGATGTACTGAATAAATACAATTCTAAAAATCAGACCGCCAACTATAAAAATCATTCAACCATTGTTAAATCTACAGGTTAGCGGACTTACCAATGGCATCATAAAGTATGAGGAGGTTCTTTGCTTGATATTTCTTGAATGCAAAGACTAGAGTACGCAGAACGTCGCCTAAATATTGGACAAGCTCAGTACAAGCTTCCTCTTCCAGAGTAGCAAATGCTGAACAAGCAGCCTCCTGTACTCTTTTGTTGCTGTCGAGGATGCACTTAAGCAACTGGAAAATAAACAAGAATCTTAGACCAAAAGCTATTGTATCATCATGCAAGTTGTTGGAATGTTGTAGGTTTTCTTGCTACAAAAATACAACTGGAAGTCATCAATAAAATACGTTAGGAATATACGTAATTGATAAAAATAAAATAATAATCAATATCTTACAATCTTGGTAGTTAAGAGAAAATGCGTTAGCACTGAAATTTTTGTCTCTTACACAAGGTGTAAGGAACTGCAGTGAGAAATAACGATTTAACGGTTTGCTTATGGTGCAGAAACTCTTCGCATGAATATTGTTTTGCAGAACTAAGTCTCAACGATTGCTGCAAAAACCTTCACTGGGGACAAATAGCTTACCTCATACATGAGAGGTTTCAGGTAAGTGTGGTCAGGCAGAACTACGGCCCAGTGGCAGTACCGCGAGAGCGTCCAGCAAGTGATGGACCTCACGAGAGCTTTCTTGTCCTTCAGACAATTGATGAGGTACGGGATGAGCTCAGGCAAGTGAGGCGTCATGCCGCTCATGCAACCCTCGGCTATAGCTCCCAGCGCCAGGATACCTGCACACGTGTAAAAAATACAGGAATTTGTCCGAGATAAAAATTCAACTTGCCGTGCACTATACATTCACATATAAATTGAGATATTTTGTTCCCTCCCCTCACTATGTGTCACGTGGCAGTATAAGACTAAGAGTATTATTGTATTCAACTGAGCAACTCCAGTAAATCTCAAAACAAGAAAATGTCACACAGTTTAGGTGTTAATTACGAAAATACTGCATGCATTTCCTTACTATATAAACATTAAATTAAACAACTTGAATTTTTTTAAATTATAACAAGACTGGATTAACTAAGCTATTCCACAAAAGACCGAACACATCTTCCCTTGCATATATAAACAAGATATATGAAGAGGCAAGGATTCAGTGGTAAGTATCTTAACAAGTAGCTCAACGGACTACATAAAATCACGCTTAGCAATCAAGTTATAAGAGCGTCGCAGGTGCTCACCGCTCTCTCTGATCTCCCACTCGCTGTGGAAGAGCGTCTCTTTGAGTATAGGCAGAATGACGGGCAACATGTCGTCCCTGAAGACGCTGGCTAGTACATCCAGGGCCGCTGCTGAGCACTGTTTAAACAGAACATGACCTCAATATACGAATTAAGAGCGCGAGCACTAAATTCTTGTCTCGAAACACACTAGAATAAAGTAAACCAAGTAAAGTGATTTTTCCACAGTATTAGTGATAATTTTTATATACACAAATTATACCAAATACAAAAAATTTTCAAAAAAATTAAACCAAGATACAAAAATCTAAGGAAACAACAATTTCCATGAAGGTAGATATGCTGCATATCCCAAATACGCTGAGTCACTATTATCATAAATGAAATATCTTTGAATACAGCGTTTATCAAAATTTCTAAGCTTCTTAGAACAATTGCTAAAATATCTGTCAACCCCAATAAGAACTCAACTTATGCCTTCTTCTCTTTGACTATCAACAACTGACGTAAGTATACCCTTCCTGAAAGTGAACTCTGAGACCTAATTCTTCTACAAGAACAGGCTAAACCAGTTTCCTTTGTTTGATGAACATGACAACACAAACTAACCTTCCTGAGGTTCCAGTCTGAGAGACTAGTGTCGTTCTAACACCAACTTACCTTCCTGAGGTTCCAGTCTGAGAGACTAGTGTCGTTCTATCACCAACTTACCTTCCTGAGGTTCCAGTCTGAGAGACTAGTGTCATCCTCGACACCATCATCAGAGTCGTTGTCATCGTCAGGAGGGAAGTCATCACCACCTCCACTGGCCCCGCCGCTGCCAATGCCATTCTCCATGGGCTCATGGCGGATGGTGTGGCGGGACTTGTGGAAGCGGGGCTTGATATCCTCGTTCCTGTCAGGCACTGACTCGTTCTCCTCGACATCGCCCTAGAAAATTACACCACACCACAATGCACCGTTGAAATCCAAGGATGTTGCATTTTAATATTTTCCTGGTCATTTATTAATCAGAATTTTCAAATTACTTCACTATACATTTTATTTTGAATCAATATAAATTTCAACCGATTGTACTGTAAAAACAATAGACATCTTTAAATTCATTATGCTCTCGTATATAGAGCATAATGAATTTAATAAATTTTCAACTCCCTATCAGAAAACACACCATACAGAAATTGGTATAGATAATAAGTTCAATGGAAAATAAACTTTAATGCTTTATGTCGTTTGGAACAACTAAATGGGAAGAACATTCATGTTTCTAATAGAGAGTTATTCTAAGATATATATATATATTCAGACTTAGCCGCTTGAAAATGTTATGATGGAAAACTGGTTTCTTGTAATTGTTAGTGTGCCTACATCCAAGAGATGCGCCTTCTTTAGTTATGTGCACAAATTTATTCTCACATGAAATTTTTTTCCAAAATAACCTACCAAAAATATCCCTGAAATTTAACACTTGTTCATAGTGGAATTTTCTGGTTCTGCCTAAAGATAATAAAAAATGGCCTGTCAAAATAACCCAAACTTAGCATACCTTGAGCAAAATGATGTCAATTTCGGAGTATTTCATGCCCCTGACGAGTACAGGAAGGAGCTTGGGTAGGTGAGGGCGCAGGGCGTCCTTGCAGATAGGATGTTCAGCAAGAGACAACCAGAACTCGCAGGCTTCCAGTGCCACATTGTCATCATTATCCTGCACGAGTGAAAAAAATGACCGTGTCATATTGTAATTCAACTGAATTCAGTGACTATTTTATCTTAATCCATAAAAATGAGACATTTGTTAACAAAATTCTCCTAAAACAGCACACTCAAAAATACGTCTAAAGCCTCATATTTTTGTTCAGATGAAATTTCCACATAGTGTTACGTCTAGCATGCATAACAAACATCTAATTAATATTCAATGAAATATATACCTGTGTCCTAAGCATCATGTACTCGATGATGTTATTCATGTGCGGTATTAGGGAATTGATGTGGGCATCAAGCAGCATCACCAGAGCCCTGCACACATTCTTGCGCACATCAGGGTCCTCGTCCATGGCCAAGTGGAACAAATTCTGAAAGCAATAAAATATATAACTCAGTACTCACTGCAGTGAGTGACAAGAGAGCGCATTTTCTCGTCGACGAAAACCTGAAGTCATGGACAGACAGACAGACAGACAGACGAGCACAAAATGGCATTTTTTAAAGAAATGTGTAAAGGAGAAAATGTGCTAAAAACTGTTGATTATTTGAAACCTACTTTAAATTGAAATAAAAGTCAAAACCTTCTGTTGACAATAGAATATTTGTGTCATCACAGAATAAAAAAAAATACTGAAAGAAAGTGAGTAAAAAAATGAAAATATTAGTACGTGGATGATGTGGTTATGATAATCACCATGTAACAACAAATGAAAGTAGTGACAAAGAAAGGAGATAACTTAAATTGCAAAACTGAAAATCTAAATTCTAAATTAAAAATTATAAACTGATTGATGAATATATGGGTTATAGAATATAGACAACATTTCAAAAAATTCTGAACTCCACAATGCACTAACTTCCAAAAATGCATCGATGTTGGACATCAGCGCCTGAGTCTTGCTGATGATGAACTGATTAACGCACGCAATGGCATGCGACCTGCAAACAATAATTCAAATAAATTAAATATTAGAGGGAAATTATCCAACAACCTACATGAGCATTGATGCTGTTGACATGAAATACCAAGTGCATCGCACGAAACAGAATCAAATCTTAGCAAATGATGAAACAATTCCAGACGAACGATAAAATCATATTTTGTTATAATTAAATTAATTCAATACTTTGTTTTCATTAAATCAACCATTTCATTAAAATTTTATTAATTCCGAGATGCATTTAGTTTTATGTCTCTTTTTATTAAAAAAATTGTTGCACATAATCATAAAGATGCGATAAAAAACTTTTTTTTTACTTTTATATGGATGGATATTGTCAGTTGAGATTCCAGTTTCAATAAACAGTTGCACTTTAACCCTATTTAATTCCAGTCCGGAGGAAATGTAAAGTACACACCTAATTTTGGATGAAGAGTGCTTGAAGAACTGCAGAAACTTAGGGATGAGAGCGTCCAGGGGCTGCTCGGGAGACTTCTCGAGATACTCAGCACTGTCCTCGCATATCTTCTGCAGGGCTCCAAACGCCCCCTGCCACGAGACATTCAATTTATTGCACACTTCTGGATTTGCCAGCTGCAGCTCATATTGTCTTGCTGACTCGAGTAAGAAATATATTATAATTTACAGAAATTCACTACTGCAATAAATAAATATACACAGCTGTGACATGCATATCTGATCATTTTGAAATAAAATGATTGCATTATTTAAACGCATATAAAAACATTACAGCAAACCGTGATGTGAAATTTCAACAACATGAATGAAATTCATAACAGGGTTTTTTTTAATCAATCATGAATCTGTCATTCAAAGACATTTTTTTCAAGCATCCTTAGTAAATTGTTACTGAAGAGCAAATCAGCAGTTAAAAAAAATTGCATCGAAATAATCAAAAATGTATGCAACCATTATTAAGCTGACTTAGAGTGAATTGTCTCTTAGATAACTCTCACGAAAATAATAACCCATGCCATTTCTTTTTGCTAGTCACCCACAGCTACCTTGTTACTGCAAAGTCTGTTCCTAATGACACATTAGAATAAAAGGTTTGATTAGGCATGGCTTTTGTACTGTTAAGATTAATTTACAGATCATATCAGCAAACAGAGTTTAAGACTCGCACACTGTCTACATGCAGGGACAAATTATAACACCAAGCATTACATATGCATAAATCTTTGAATTTCCAAGCAAATAAATCCATGTGCCAGAGAATTAAGTCAACCAAGAATTAATTAGCAACAAGGATGCAACATTTCAAATAAGGTCCAAAAAGTCCCCATACATGATGCATTCTCACTTCTGATGCTGTAAGTTCACCAAAATAGTTTAGATTTCGATACAGAAATTACAATTACAGATAATACAGAAAACCCAGGACATCTTTCTTGATGATGTAAAAACATATTTTGAAAGCTGTCTTACCTCACACACGTTGTAGTCAGATGCTGACAGCATTTCACAGAGCTTGGGTAGCAGCTCAGGCCATGATGACAATTCACCTTTGCTGGCAATGGTGGTGATGAGGATGCCCACTGTGGCCCGTATGAGGGGGGAGGGGTCACCCACTGCACACAGGCACTCCATCTGATGGGGAAATGCACATATCAAAACGATGAACAGAGCCATTAAACTTCCAGTTCATATGCTGAATGGACATCAATAATTACAAAGTTTCATAAACAACAAGAAATGTGGTGAGTATAGGTATTGCAAACTTTCATATACAGCAAGAAATGTGCCAAGTATAATACTGCCGCACAAAGGCTTCAGCAGAATTGTACTACAAAAGTTGAGATAGCATAAAATAGGGATCCTATAAACACCTGATGTCTCATATATGAATGCCTAGAGTATTTGGAGAAAAGCTAATACTGAATAGAATATTGCGATTTTTTACAATAATAAGCAACACAAAATTCTAAAAATAGATCATGAAAATATAATAATAAGATATCAACAAAGAATAATCCTACTTTTGCAAGTTACCCCAAGTGAATTGAAGTCACAGTGTTTTTAGGGGCAAAAAAAATTTTCCAAGCTGTGAACTTGACAGAAATTCACACAACTTAAAAACTCTCTGGATCACATGACATAAAATTCCAAAAAACATAGCACGGTCGTCCGCTCAAAACATTTAGCTGCCTACGCACACATTGTGGCCTATTTATAGTCTGTGATTGGTTGGTAAAGCTTGAAAAGCCCCCAGCAATAGGCTGATGTATCTGTGAACTCTTAGATAATTTTGATCACAGCCGCTGAGTGTAGGTAGACTCACCTTGATGAATTGAGCAACATCGGGAGGGAATTGGTGGAAGTGCGCCTTGACATTGTTCTTCAGGATCAAACCACTCAAAGATCTTGTAGGCTCATCTGTTACCAAAATTCCATTGAAAATTCAGAACATGATCAGGAAAGAATGAATAGATAAATTCATTAAACAATTTTATGATATATAAGGAAATTTGGAAATGCCAAACAGAGATGCTGGGGTATATTATTGTATCCCAGATGCCAGAATAGTAAAAGCATACTTGACAAACACAAAGTATTGGCATATGTACCAATGTTGGAAAAATGAATTACAAATAGAACTACAATGTTGGATAGAGATGAATTCAAATTATTACACTAAGACTGAAGAAACTTGAAAAAATATCAAACACACAGTTACTGACATAACTAAAAATATTCATAAGTTAAAGTAAGATTCAAACGCACAATGCCATCAACTGCTAAACAAAGTTGAATAAATGAATCATTAGAGCTAAGCTACCTTAGCATCAAGAAAAACTAGAATACTATTAAATGGTTAAGAAAAAAAATATTAATTCAAAATTTTAGTTTGAAATATTGGGAGATGATGCACTCACCTTCTGATAGCAATTTGGTTAGGACGAATATCAGATATTTATTGAAGTCAGTAAATTTATTAAGTTCTTCTAATTTCTGAAACAAAAGAAAAAATAAATACATTAGACAAAAAAACATAGCAAATAAACCAATGATCTAAAAGCAATACAGAAATACCAAAATATAGACATAATAAATGTTTGATGATCAATGAGTCTGAAGCCCCAAGGTCAATGGGCAACAACTACAGCAGGAAGAATTGAAAAACAATTTTAATAAAATTTCTTACAATTTCTCACAACATCTACAGACAAAATAAAAAGAAAATATCTCAACAAATTAAAATCAGATGTATGACTTAAAATTATATCCATTATGAAATAATAAAATAATTTTATTTGTTTTAAAAACTAGAAATGCTCTCAGGAATAATATTTGCACTGAACCCTAAAACCAACAAGAGATTTTGTGACAAATAACATCTTACAATTTGTTGGTACATGGATGGTGCTCATAGATGCGTTACAAAGGTGTAATTTTATGGTATCTGGCCTTAGCAGGCACAAAATACAATGTAGCCACTAGCCACCACTAATGCTAAAATGCTAATATCGTATGCACATTGGTAGCAAAATGACAATTCATGCCCAAGCACATATATTGAGGCCTAAAAAATTAAAAACTTAAAAAAACACATTTTCTTAACGGGCAAAAATGAAAAACATTTACTCTTACATAACATTAAAGTTATGTAAATGTTATGTAATGTTATGTAAGAGTAAATGATTTTCTTTTTTGTCCGCTAAGAAAACGTGTTTTTTTAAGTTTTTTATTTGTTTTATTTCATCATTTTTAGTTTTGTAAAACAAGAAAAACATGGTTTTTAAAAATGGTTTTTATTATTTATTCATTTTCTACTTTTTAGTTTAGCAATTCAAATCAATTTCTAGGGTTAGCAAGTCTGGATGTTTGACAAAAAACTCAATTCCCAACTGTGAAATAATCATTTTTTTCACTTTTTTATTTTTATTTACAAAAGATTTTTTAAATTATCACTTCTGATGATCAAATCTTGAATTGTTAGGCAGCATAAGCATGCATGCCAAATTTCCAGTTTCTAGGATGTTCAGAAGAGCTCTAAATTAAAGTCTGAATTTTTGATGACAGACAGACAGACACAAACAAAGCTGAGAAAAATGTGGTAAAAAATGAATACAATTTTCTGGCTCAGAAGGCTTATAAAATTTGGGATTGATCTACAAGCAAACATATATGGCAATTATAGCAATTATACATGTCCTTTAGATCAAAATGAAAATATCAGAATTGCATGCAATGATGTCAAATGCCTTGGCTAATAATTACAATTATGCCAACACCATCTTCACAAGATATGTGCAACTAAAAGTTCATCTTATGATTTTAAGGTCTTCAAGTCTATTATACCCAAACAAAGAACATTTATTTCAATGTTCAAGTAGAGCTTTTCAAGTTTACTAAACATGGGTTGGAGAAGGTTTTTCCTTTGAAAGGCATGCCTATGTAAGAACCTTCAAAAATGTGAATGGAAATCTAGCCTGAGAATCAAGCTCTCGGCCATCTGCAGCAGCTCATGTCACCATCAAGGCACATGTATTTTAAATAAGTATCCGAGGCTATTTTGCAGTTTCATGGATATCTTTAAAAATAAAATTAGCAATTCAATATTAAATATTGCAAGAACTTCTAGGTTGTTATTCATTCCAAGTGACATTTCAACCAATGTGCAATACTTTTTGTAGTTTTCACTGCTCAATTTAGGCCTTTACTTACATTTTACAATAATAATTGCCAATGAATGAATGATGGCCAGCTAAGGTTAAGCATTTAGACTAAAGGCTACACAAGAATGACAAGATAGCTCAAGCCAATACACTATGAGGGAATAGTAGAATTATTGTTGCAAATGAATAATCCATTGTACAGCAACATGTTAATAGTAAATAGTAATTATTCAAAGTGGAAAACTAGTCACAATAGACCTATAGTAGAATTTAACAATATAATGGCTGACAATAAAATTTGCAAAAATTATCATTTCTGAAGCTATTACAAGAATGTCTGGTAAATTTCAAGATATTCATATAGATTTAATACTTATATTAACTATTACCATATGTCCATTTCCAAAATCTATCAATGTAGCAGACAAAAAACTGCAGATGAAAAATTCGTCAATTATAGTCACCATAGTGACAATTTGACAAACCAGAGCTTTTTTGAATCAGTTCATTTTTAATTTCTCATTTACTCAAGATTTAAATCAATTTCTCAAGTATGATAATGCTGGTATCCAGGATACTTGACTGGTCTACATATAGGACTCAAAAATGAACTTGAGGAAGAGTCTAAAAAACTCTCTGCTTTCAGTGCTTTGCCACTATGAAGTGACTATTAGTCACTAAAGCATTTTCCATCCAATAATACATATATATAAAGCCATAAAGGCATAGTGACAAACCAGAGACTTTTTAGAATCAGTTCATTTTTAACTTTCTCATTTACCTAAGATTTGAACCAATTCCTTGTGTATGATAAGGCTGGTATCCAGGATACTTTACTGGTCTACTTATGGGACTCAAAAATGAACTCGCTTGAGTCTAAAAAACTCTCTGCTTTGAAAGGGAAATCAAAAAACCATTTACGTAAATCCCAATTTCTTCTTTCAAAACTAAGGAAATTAACACATTTTTACTGCAATTTTAAAACATCAGTATCATATTCACCATGAAGTGAAATTGCAGGAATGGACCATATGGAGGTTTATATAGTAGATAAATTTTTAATTGGTCTTTGGTCCAGCAACTCCAGTCTGAGCAACTGAGATTAGGTAGTAGCTTTGCCCTCTTGCTTCTTCTGCTACATTTCCAAATTATCGGCTTATTACCTATATTAGAAGGAAAATGTAATATATTTTCTATATAATATGATATGAGCCAATTTCTGCTTTCCATACATTATTGCTCCTAAATTCCATCCTTGCAAGAGCATTTGGTGCGAGTCTGCGAGAAATCCTTCCGTATCAATGTCAAGGTGAACTGGGTACTAAGACTTTTCGACCAGTCATGACTCGTGAGATTGTCGAAGTAGTACATACAGAAATACAACAATTGTATGCTCAATATCACAAATTTAACGCTAATCGTCTTGAAAATGTGTTTTTTAGGATCTTTCACCATATTGCAACTTGAACGAGTTAAGCACACTAGATAACCTATGTCTCGAGTGCACGAACTAGGTATAAACAAACGAATCACAATGGCGGAAAGGGTAGAGACAACGTGAAGTTTAGAACAGAATAACAGACTGACTTTTGCAGAGACAAATATTATATATTAATAAGTATTACCTGTTGCACAGATTGTTGAACGCCGGTATTTGCAGATTGAGACTCTCTCAATAGATTTAAAATTTGTCCTAAAGCTTCTGGATCGGGCGTCCACTCCATGTTTTGCGCCGGTGAGTGGCTAACTAAGAAACAAAGGAGGAACTTCATAGCAGATACAGTTATAGTGACCTAAAAAAAACTATATAATAAAAATTCCGCTCAATCAAAAATGAATGTTCGAACTTGACTTATGATACATTTTCTCACGTTTCTTTCATTCCGAAATTTATTATACATAGTGGATACCAATCTTCCTGAAAACAATTCTGTACATCTTGAATAAAAATATTTTCATTGAAAAATTTGGACTGTTGTAAATTAATTTAATTTAGGTAAAATTATAAAACTGTGTTAGGAAATAAATGCTACAAATAGATTGATTTAAATTATATTCTCTATATATCACGGATTCACTTAACAATTTCTGTTTTGACTTAACACTGTTGCCATTTATCACTGCTTCACCATGGGTATACACCTAATTTAGGACTCATAGAAGTCGTATGAATGTAATCATTTCCATTATTTTGTACCCTGGATACGTATTTGATAAGAAATCTTTTATTCTGTTTTTAATTCAACTTAATTAAGGCTAATGTTTATTCATGTAAGGCGAGAATAAGCTATCATTATCAACGATTCTGTTTCAAAGTGACATCTTTCAAAGTGCGTGAATTATTTTTACCTTACTCAAATGCGAAAATGAGAGCCTTCTGCATCCATTTCCAGGCTATATATTTGTTTGGGATTAAATAACACCGCTCTGACACAGACGTTCTGACACCTTTGCGGTTACTTTTTTGAACGAATTCGCAGCGTGCGTTTACCTCCCGAAAATTTTCCAAATCGAAACCAATTTTGTACTAATTAAAAACCAACTATCTATTTGCAATGCGCTTTTCCGAGCGTGTCAATTTTTCTTTCCATCGTCGTTTTTAATTAGCATGCCAAACGCCAAGTTTATGCACTTTTTCTATTCATAAGTCTTGATATAATAACAACGCAGTAATTTATTCACAGCACACTCCTGCGACTATTGCGAGCGTAGTCAGAATTTTTTTTTATGTCCGCATCATTTTCGGTATTGAGCTAAATGCTAAGTTAGTTTGGCACGCAAAGAGGCTGAAACTTAGCGCTTAGCGCTCTAGCAACGATTTTGATTTGAACAAGTTATGCATGTCAAACGTGCTAAGACTTGGCTAATTGGATAAATCTCTGCTGTCAAAATTCGCATACAAAATTAGTTCCAAATAATCGTCCCAAACCTGTCGGAACGGTCACTCCATTAATTTTCTATTCTCACACCATGGATAAGGATTCAGGTTCTACAATATCTCAATACGATAGACATTGTGGATAAGCGCCCAAACATCCTCTAGATTTACGTGCTAATTCCAAACACACACAATCCAGCCTTCCCAGCAGTTACGATGTTTTATTGATTGAGATCCGGAAGGACATCTCCACCCCCTCCCCTCCCACACACAAGCATGATTTTCTATTAATTGGGTCCCGAAGGGCTCTACCTCCACCCAGCAGGTTGGATGTTTACTAATTGAGTCCCGAAAGATCCTCATACCAAGCAGCGCCTCAAGAGTTGGGCGCAACCGTTCACCGGCCACCGTCGCTCTTGGTGGCGTCGTCGTGTGGCCATCAGCAACCACTAAAGAGTCTCAAGAAATGACGAAATAATTGGATGCAAAAATTTTTCTGCAAGCTGTCTTGTCCAAAAAGGTTAAATTTTATAAATTGATTCTAAGGTAATTGTCCTGGTAGATATATATATTAGTTTTAGTAGATTGTTCTCATTAATAAATTCAATATTTTGTATTCATTACATGATTTACTTGGTACACAGGAAAAAATTACCGGGCATTTGTGATGTTGAAAGAATCAAATTATTAATTTAGCGGGAGCTTCGATAACCAAAAATGCTGAGATTTCAGGTATTTTGAGAGCTACCATATCAACTTCATCATCATTAAAAACAAAAAGACCTGCAACAGTCGGAACAGTTAGCTTAAGTTTTGCTGGTCGTCACTCGCGGCCTCTGAATTATCCCGATCTGACAAGCAGTCATGATTCTGTTTACTTGCATCTGCATGCCCTCGAGCGTGCTTCGTCCCACCACGTGTGGTTGGTCCTCAGCATTGGATTTGCCTCCGCGTGTGTTTGGTTTCCTGATGTAGTTAAGTTGGTCTTCTACTTCAGCACCCCGGCATGATTGCATTTCCAGATGTGGTTCGTTCACATGTGTATTTGGCCCTACGGTGTGGTTGGTCCCTGATTTTAGTTAGTTTATAGCACAGCCGATGGCAACAGACTTAACTGTTTAATTACAAACCTCTTAAACATGCCCTGGACCCAACGGTCAGCTTAAAAATACTTATCAACAATTCAGAGCTACGAAGTCGTATACTTCGCTAGAAACACAACATGTTGCACTTGATCCTTATAAACGGTTGAAGTCATGACGCTTTAGGTCCGAAGCCAATGCTCAAGTCAGTAGAATCTTAGTGGATTTGTCGTCTATGATCCAGAGGTGGCGAAGTCCAAGTACATCACGTCCACCCCGGCCCCCTCCTCCAGCATGGCCAGGATTTGGTGGTGATGCTCAAATAGCTGAGACAAACAGGAACGATTTCGTCTAAAACCGTGTTGCCCTTTGTTGAAAAGGTCAGCGTCTTCCATGTCCTGCACCAACCTTCTGGCAACAACCTTCTCAAATACTTTGATTACGTGTGATGTTAATGTAACCGGCCTGTAATTTTGGGGTTTGTCTCTTGCGCCTGTCTCTTATACACATCTAGATGTGTATAAGAGACAGTAATTAAACTGCACAGATAGGCACAAAAGCAACAGTAGGCTCAACGTAACGCACGACCTATATAACTTGTCAGTAGCAAGCGCGATACTGTGCAGTGTGCGCTGAGAAGTCGTAAACCTTTGCTTTGACTGGTAATGAACACGTTCGCGTTCAATACTCGATTCCTCCCGGCACCATTAGACTTAAAACCACTACCGTTCGTCAGCTAGAGAAAATATACAGTCTGACGGTTAGTGCGTTGCNTGACTGTAGCGGTAGCGGTAGCGCCCGTTATATTTAGAACATGTAGCGGTAGCGGTAGCGCCGCTACATTTCCAAGCAGCGCTGCCCAGCTCTGCGCGGACGGTCTATCCTTATTGCTTCTATACTTATTCCAAAACGGTTACAGCCATGGCGCTGTTTCTTTGCAGCCTTTGCTAAAGTCAATATGGTCTTCGTTGATTTGTCGTCTATCTTTATTACTTTTATAGTTCTTCCAAGACGGTTACAGCCATGGCGCTGTCTGTCCGCAGCTCGAGTCAGTATAGTCTTCGTAAATTTGTCTTATTGCATTTATAATTATTCCAAAACGGTTGAAGCCTTGCGTTGTCTGTCCGCAGCTCGAGCCAGTATGATCTGCGTGAATTTGTCGTCTATCCAAGTATCCATATTACTTACAGGGGATTGGTTCAATGGGTAGTCGGATCATCGTATTATTTATCGTTCATTAATATGTCTTAAAGTTAAAGGTTTTTACCGACACGTAGGGGAGTGACTTCAATGGAAGGAAGGAAGCAAAACTCGGATGTCATTTGCAGCTCCTATCAGTGATTTTCTTCGTGTTGGCTTCCAGATATGTAGATAAATACTATAAATATCTCTAAGAAATTAAAATTAGCGAATATGCAGTTAGCTTAATGCAGGATTCAATTTTCCGATCATTCTTTAAATCATCTGAGTCATCGTTAAGCACATGAGTTCGTAGAAATTTTCATATCCGTCACGTATATATCATCAAATTAGCAATTTAATTGCACTTTTTCTTAAGAAATTGCAATCTCTGATTCAATTAATATATTATTATATTTTCAAAGTAAATAGAATTGGAATATGATCTGATAATTATAAAGCGTTGAACTCTTTAAAAGTATTGGTAACTCTGTCCAGTTACCAGCGCATCCATTGTTATTGCTATTGTCTGTGATAGTGTGTGAAATAGTGTCTAGTATGCGTAGATTTCATGGTCAAATTCGGTTGTATGCGTATCCGGGTCAAAAATATCGCTTCTGCGCAAGTGTTTAATACTATCATGTAATGATGAGTGTCCTTATTCATTTCCAAAAATATTTTTCCTAGTTATTTTGGCTCTACTGATTCGTTTTCTTGTTCAAGAAGAAGCTGTCATGTGTTTACTTACACTTACTAGACTACTAGTTAGGTAGGTAGGTAGGTACTACTACTAGCCTACTAGGGACTTGCCGATCAATTTCAGAATTATGCTGTGTGGTGATATCGTTGATGCACTCAATGCAAAAAATTTAATCCATTTTTGATCAGTGAAAAATTTAGAACTAGGCCCTAGCCCTAAAATGATCATAGCATGTATAAATGAACATGTAAAGATGTATTGTCTAACCTAGGACTTAATTTGATTTCTTTCTTTTCTTAGTTATGAAAATTGAAAGGCTAGCTAAATGATGAAGATGAATTTTCATGACAAATTTTGTTGGTTGGTAGCTACCTACCTATAATTTTTTAGACATGTTTTACCATTTTTTCTAGCATCAAGCCCAATAATAAAAACTATACCTACTGTAATAAAAGCAATGAATTTGATGGTGGCCCACAGTGGCAAACCAGAGATTTTTTAGAATCAGTTCATTTTTGATTTCCTTGTCTACTCAAAATGTAAACCAATTTCTCATGTATGATAAATTGATAATGCTCGTATCCATGATACTTTGCAGTTTGCTGGTCTATACTTATAGCCTATAGGGCTTAAAAATGAACTTGAAAAGTTGAGGAAGAGTCTAAAAAACTCTGCTTTGCCACTATGCAGTATCTAGGTACCGTAAAATGGGGTAACCCGGTAAGTTTGACCTTTTTTTTCAAAATGATGCCATTTTTTTTCTAGATAAGTTAAACTTAAATTGAAACATGCAAAATACAGGTCTATACTCTAGCTTTACTCACCATAAATTGCTGGCTCCTGCCTCTCATAGTTTTGATTCATATACATTATATTTTATGTTTTATACACCTATTA